TTTTAAACCACTTGCAGTGATAGCGGTGGTGATGCAGGAGGTGGAGGTGGTGGTGAGGAGGTGAGATTGGTGGAGGTGATGCTGGTGCTGGCGGTGATGACGGTGGTGGTGATGGTTGGAAAGGTGGAGGAAGCAATGAAACTTATATAGCGATATGTGTACTGACCCCGCATCCCAAAATATAAATCCAACCACATTTTCACTCAGCTGAACACCGAGAAGTTTATCTCTCCAAGCTTACTACCCTTCAAGCTTTATCTTCTGTTGCCCTGGTGCCCTGTGTTGTCCACACAGCATAGATTGAGGCGGCAACAAAGAAAGGAAGGGCGTTCACAGTGAAGAGGGGCATAGCAAAGCCCGGAGCTTCAGCCCTCTTCTTGTGAAGACCATTGATATCTGCGCCTTCTGGCCCTGCCTAAGCTCAGATGTGGCTTCATACCCTCTTGGGGGTGCCCTATTCCTTCTGACTGCATGGAACTCTGGACAGAGCCTGTACTTGCACCACCAGAAATAGCATCATCAACGTCAGCTCGAGCTGAATGAGGATTTGCAGCAAGTCTTGATGCTGCTGTGCGGTAGACCCCGACTTTATTCACACAGTGCAGAAGCAAGCCACATCCTGTGATCTGTCCTCTATATTTTCCTGCTCTAGAATATAATAAATTAAACATAGAATGAAATGCAAAAAGGTTACATTGAGACATATACTATTTGAAGGTTTAATTCATTTTTCTAGTGTATAAGACACAAGGCTATTAAATTTTTAAAGCAGTGATCTCCTAAACTCTCTACTTTATGAGGGCTTTCTTCATAAAGATAAATGGTTTCCTTGCCAAATCAAATGCAGATTTGAAACAAATTAAGTTAATGTTCAATGATACAAGGTAGAATGAATGGGGGAGCTGTTTTATTTTGCATTGTAATAACCATACACACCTAAATCAATAGCTGTGGAAAAAGGCAATAATATCACGTAACTGCAGGAAATGAAATATAGTGGCCAAGCGGGGGGGAACAGGCTGCAAAAAGAAAGGGTTTGTATTGGAATAATGACATTTCATTAAACAGGGAAGGAGGACTATTGAAGAGAAGTCCATAGCAGTAAATTCTGTTTCTTATAATAACACTTGAGACGAGTTAAAGTTGGCTGGGTATTGTGATAAAGGATAATGCTGTCGTCCTTCTGTGCATGGGGCTATAATTTTAGGTTTAAAGAAAACCTAGATATTAAAGAGCCAGTGCATGTTTTCAGAGGGCGTCTTCATTCTTCTCATCTTTTGCTTAATTTGGTACAAGGTCCAATAATCTGTCTGAAAGATTGCATGAGGAAGGTAGCCTGAGGTGTTTTTTTTTTTTTAATTGCTCTTGAATGAAAGTCAACAGGTTTTTTTCTTCCTTCCTTTTTTCTTTCCTTCCTCCCTCTCTCCCTCCCTTTCTTTAGTTCATAGTAGGCAGAGCACGGACAAAGGGTTTTGCTATTAATGAAAGCTGCTTTTCAACAGTTATTAGAGAAGGAGAAAGAGAGAGAGGGGGGAGAGAGAGACATGTTCTATGCTGATATTTTTGATCATATACCTCTCTACCCATAGTCTCTAGAGAAGCTGCCAAGGAGCTATCCTAGAAGACCTAAATGCCCTTATAGATGCGGGGACCTTACTCAGAAATATCATGGTCTGAAACCATTTTGAGTAAACCATTATCACCTCAATCTAGCTCCGAGAGAGATGGTACAAGGCCCCCTCAGCTGCAGCCTCAAATGGTGTGTTCGTGGATTGCCCCAGCACTTTGAAATCAGCCTTTGTTGCTGTTGTATAGTTGCTAAATCATGTCCGACTCTTTGCAACCCCATGGACTGTAGCTAGGCTGCCCTGTCCATGGAATCTTCAGGTAAGAATACTGGAGTGGGCTGCCATTTAAAGCTGGGGAGGAGCTTCTTTGTTTCTCCTTGGATGTATTTCTTCTCTCTTCACTGAAGGAGACAGATGCACCTTTTCTATCTTGCACCTGTGTGCCCACCTGGAACTGGGCCTATAGAGATGCTGGCAGGAAAAGCATCTCATCAGAGGGGTCACCTTCTCCAGGAAGGCTTTCTTGTCTTCCCCAGCTGGATGAACTTGTGGTCTCTGTTGACAGTGCAGCTTTGGCATGGGAAGATAGTACACTGTGCATTTTACTGTGTTATCCCAAGAAATTCTGCCTGAATAATGGAAGGCACAATTGTACTTGTCTCACATGCTACCAAAGTAATGCTCAAAACTCTCCAAACCAGTCTTCAACAGTATGTAAGCTGTGAACTTCCAGATGTTCAAGCTGGATTTAGAAAAGGCAGGGGAACCAGAGATCAAATTGCCAACATCCGTTGGATCATCGAAAAAGCAAAAGAGTTCTAGAAAAACATCTACTGCTTTATTGACTATGCCAAAACCTTTGACTGTGTGGATCATAAGAAACTGTGGAAAATTCTTAGAGATGGGACTACCAGACCACCTGACCTGCCTCCTGAGAAATCTGTAGGCAGGTCAAGAAACAACAGTTAGAACTGGACATGAAACAACAGACTGGTTCCAAATAGGGAAAGGAGTATGTCAAGGCTGTATATTGTCACCCTGCTTATTTAACTTATATGCAGAGTACATCATGAGAAATGCTGGGCTGGATGAAGCACAGGCTGGAATCGAGATCGCCGGGAGAAATATCAATAATCTCAGATACACAGATAATACCACCCTTATGGAAGAAAGCAAAGAAGAACTAAAGAGCCTCATGATGAAGTGAAAGAGGAGAGTGAAAAAGTTGGCTTAAAACTCAACATTCAAAAATCTAATATCTGGTCCCATCACTTCATGGCAAATAGATGCAAATAGATAGTGGAAACAGTGACAGACTTTGTTTTTTGGGGCTCCAAAATCACTGCAGATGGTGACTGCAGCCATGAAATTAAAAGATGCTTGCTCCTTGGAAGAAAAGCTATGACCAACCTAGACAGCATATTAAAAACCAGAGACATTACTTTGCTGACAAATGTCCATCTAGTCAAAGCTATGGTTTTTCCAGTAGTCATGTATGGATGTGAGAGTTGGACCACAAAGAAAGCTGAGCACCAAAGAATAGATGCTTATGATCTGTGGTGTTGAAGAAGACTCTTGAGAGTCCCTTCGACAGCAAGGAGATCCAACCAGTACATCCTAAAGGAAATCAGTCCTGAATATTCATTGGAAGGACTAATGTTAAGGCTGAAGCTCCAATACTTTGGCCACCTAATGTGAAGAACTGGCTCATTGGAAAAGACCTGATGCTGGGAAATACTGAAGGCAGGAGGAGTAGGGGACGAAAGGATGAGATGGTTGGATGGCATTACTAACTCGATGGACATGAGTTTGAGCAAGTTCTGGGAGCTGATGATGGACAGGGAAACCTGGCGTGCTGCAGTCATGGGGTCACTAAGAGTTGGACATGACAGAGCGACTGAACTGAACTGAACACACAGGTTCTGGAAGACAAAGCACCCAAGTACAAAACAGGATCTGTGATCCTAGTAGCACTGCAGTCTTGAGCAGTTCCTTTAAACTATCTTCCTCAGCCTCCTCATCTGTAAAATGGTACTCAGCCCTTGGGGATGTTGTCAGGATTAGATGAGAGGATGCACATGCAGCAGTCAGCAATCTGGCATGCAGAATGTCTGATAACCAAGGATGTAAACAGAGCACATTTAATCACCCACCAAGCATGACTCCTGGAATTAAGTCGCACAGTGATTCTGACCCTATATACTAAAATACTCCCCGGAGTCCCAGTCCTGGAGAACCACCTGAAGCCCCTAGCCCTGAAAGGACCGGCAGCGGCCAGACTGGCAGGGGAGCGTGCAGTAGGAGTCTGACACCAACCAGAGTAGACGAGGCTGTTCAGTCCAGTGCCCCAGGTGGAGCAGGGCACCCAGAGCGAGCGCAACACGAGGAAGCCTGTGGGGGGATTCGTTTCCAAGGGCAAGTCTATGGGGACATGGCTGAGAAAGTGTCGTTGCAGGCTCTGCAGTGGTGAGGGTGTATGCGCGATATGTTGTCCCAGGTGCCATTTACCCTTGCCTCCCTGCTGCCCTAATGGGCAGAGAATCCTTTTCCATTCCATGTTGGTATGGCATTACCTGGGTCTGTGCTGGGCAAGGTAGTTCTCTAACTCCCTCAGTCTTCTCACCTGCCCACCCAAAGCCTTACCTCCTCAGCACATTTGTGTCTGATGCAACATGTATTGATCTGGTTCAACATGTGATACGAAGCCCTTACCTGCTTTCTATCAAAAATCTACCACCTCCTAGCTGTGTGCCCGCAGGAAAATAAATTGGCCTCTCTGAACCTTTGTTTTCTCATGAATTAAGTGAAATCAATGTACTGATGATCTGAGGATTAAGTTACATAATACATGCAAAAGATCTAATGCTGTACCTGGCAACTAACACATTGTTAATAAATGCTGTGCGTGTGTGCTAAGTCGTGTCCGACTCTTTGTGACCCTATGGGCCGTCACGCACCAGGCTCCTCTGTCCATGAGATTCTCCAGCCAAGAATACTGGAATGGGTTGTCGCGCCCTCCTCCAGAGGATCTTCCCAACCCAGGGATTGAACTCGCATCTCTCATGTCTCCTGCATTGGCAGGCATGTTCTTAACCATGCATCAGGTAGGCAAGAGGCCAGAATTCAACCTACTCGGGAGAGGATATCTCATCCTCAGTCTCCTCACCATGTTGTATATTCAACACATGGTCCTCTGCTCCTCACTGGATGGGCACATGGCTTGGGGATTGGGATGTGACTCTGGAGTCAGACACATCCTGAGTGTGATCCCTTACTCACACTCTGTCTGTGGCACCCTGGGTGCCTTGCTCCCATCATCTGTAAAATAAGAAGGCAATCTTCCTCACAGGGCCAGTGTGAGGGTGAAGTGGACTAATGCGAGTGAAGGGCTTGGCTAGAGCTTGACACTTCAGAAAGCATTCAGAGCCCACCATGAAAGCAATTACTGTAATTCAATACTTAGAACCACCATGTGAGAGTGATAAGAATGAGGATCGTCACTTTGGAGAGAAAGACCCCGAAGCTCAGAAATTAAGCAAGGTGTTTTCCCCCCAGGTCACACACTGAGACAGGGGCAGTTTGGGGTAAAACAAATGCACAGCCACGTTAACCCTCCACGGCCTCTCCTGACTGAGCCACCTCTGCTGGCCCCACTTCGCTATTTCACTCCAGCTCTGAGTTCACACGTCTTTCCAGCACCCGGGGTGCGTCCCGCCCTCCTCATCTTCTGATACATCCCCTATGCCTCAGCCTGTCATTCCTTCCAGAAGTCTGCCCATGCCTCTACCCCACCCTGGTCTGGACGGGGGCCCTCGCCTCACAGCGCTGTCCGGGACTCCTCATGCGACTGTATTCCCCCTGCTCTACAAGCCCCTTGCTTTCAGAGACCATCCCGCTAGCCATTCACTCTTTGATGGCTTGGCTGCTGATCACCTAATAAACACTAGTTAGAAGAAAGAAGCAAAGAAGGAAGAATTGAAGAAAGTAAGGGGGTGTTCTCTTCGGTTGATAGTATTTAAAGCAATGTTGCTTTTCTTTTTTTTCCTAAAAAATTTAATGGGACTGTCACAGTCATATAAAAAGCAGTTAATAACCATATGCACAATCAGGATCTATTCTCAAGTTCTCTGGGCAATGGAAAGATCCGGAGCTTTGTAGCCAGGAGACCCTGGTTTTTTTTGAATCTTGGTTCAGCGAATCACTCGTGTCATTGTCCTCAGTGTAAGACAGGCACTCATGTTACCGACCACGCGAGGCTGTTGTGAGAAATTAGAAAGAATATGATGGGAATGGTGTGCACACTGTCTGCTCTGTTGCAGTGATGGCCTCATCATGGTGGGAGTTGTTGCTGCTGTGACTTCTGTGGTTTTCATTAAGAGCAGAGCTCTTTCCATCTCAGCAGATTGCGTTCTTCAAGGAACACACAGTTCTAACAAATTAGCAGCTTAGCCCTTCTCTCCAATCAGCAAAATTTCTTAAATATGTGCTGGGCCCTGCCCCGAGCAGAATTTGATACTCATTTCTGTGCTTGCGTGGAGGGGTTCATAATCCTAAATTGGGGAACTGGAAATCACACTGAGTACGCTGGCTAAAGAGCCAGGCTGAACTCATCATACAGAGTCCTTGTTCCAAGGAAACAGAAGATGGATGCTCCCAGGGGATGTGCATGGTCTGGCGTGGGCACTCCGCGTCTTCTTGCTGCTGTAACAAATCACCACAAACCTGGTGGCTTAAAACTACACAGATTTATTATGTGACAGTTCTGGAGGTCAGAAGTCTGAGACGGGTCTCACTGCATTAAAATCCAACTGTCAGCTGGGCTGTGTTCCTCCTGGAGGCTCCAGGCAAGAATAGGTTTCATGGTCTTTTCCAGCTTCTCGAGGCCTTCTGCATGTCTTGGCGTCTGGCTTGTTCTCCATCTGCAAAGCCAGCAAGGGCAGCTTTCTCATGCTGTGTCCCTCTGGCTCAGACTCTCCTGTCTCCTTTCATTTCTGGGGACCCATGTGACGACATTGGAATAACTCATCTCCCCATCTCAAGATCCTTCAGATCACATCAGCAAAGTCCTCTCCTCCATGTAAGGCCATGCATTCACTGGTTCTGGAGTTCTTCACGTGGACATCTGTGGGGTCCGGTCTTCTGTCCACCACTGATTCCTGGGGACAGGCAAGGTCTCCCACGAGGGGCCATGAGTGGAGATTTGCTGACATGCAGAGTGACCCACCAAAGGCTTTGACAAGTGTGGGTTATTTATAGGGAAACAAGAGGGAAATGTATCCATTTGAGTTTATTATCACACTTTCCATAAAAGGGCATTTTAATTTTAGGTAGGAGGTGAGAATTATGATGCTAATTGTACATTGTGCAAAGTGCCTGACCACTTGCACTTATTTAGTCTCTATAATAACCCAGCAAAGCATTATCTTCATCCCGTTTAAAGACCTGTTATATTGGACATCTGGAATCTGAACCCAAATCTGTAGAGCTTGAAAGCCCAGTTCTTTCCGATTGGGCACACGAATTCCTGGAAAAGAATCCCTCACTTTTTCCAAAGACTGGGGCTACTGGTCAGCAGTCTCGTTTCCCAGCCAGATGTGGACAGATGCAAAACAAGGAGGTAGCCATGCCTTTTTTTTTTCTGGAACACCAGCTGGGTGGGGAGGTCTGGGCTGGCAAGAACTCAGAGTCATCTGCTCTTTTCTGACTGCCCTTCCAGAAGCAAGCTGATGAAGGGGAAAGGATTTCCCCTCCAGCCTGACATCAAAGGTTCCGGTCAGGGGCTCCCCGGGCCAGGATGCTGTTAGCATGGGATATTAACCAAACACATTTCACCCCTGTGCTTGTCAGGGGTGGTTGTGTCTTTGACGCAGCCTCATTCCTTGGACTTAATTAAAACCCAGTTCCCTCTTTTATTCAATTTATGAGGCCTAGCCAGCAGGATTAAGCGATTACAGACAAAAAGCCCCATTTGTGAAACACTCCTAAACTCAAGCTGTTACGCTGCTTACTTGTACTCCATTAAATTAATAAGGAATGAATGGGCTGATCCATTATGAATAAAGCAGTGGGGAGTCTCTGCCCCAGCTCATACTTCCTGCTCCCTCCTTGGAGAACATTTGTGTAAAATGATTATGTTCATATTCATTCAATTGGAATTCTCTAAAAGTGGAATGCATAAATTACTCTAAAGACACAGAGTTTATCTTAAACATTAACTGCGAAGGGTGAATTAATACGACTATTATAAAACCATTAGCATTCAGCGTATTTACCTACAGCTGCAGTATACCTAAACCAAATTCAGCCCATGATTGCCACTTGTGTTGGGTGATCAGGCGAGTTTATTTTAGCCCTCAGTTCATTTAAAATCATAACACACCCTTGAATATCCAATTTTTCCATTAGCTCCTTTCTTCAGGGGTTAACTTGGTTGGAAATTGATTTTCATTGTTTCCTGATTTAACCACAAACATCTATCCAGCTGTTATGACACCTCAGTGTTTCCAAATATCTGTCATTTAACTCAACAAGATAGGAACACAGAGGCTAACTTTGTTCACACTTTGAGGTCCAGACAGGTCAATTACCGAAGGAGTGCGGGAGACACAACTGAGGACATGGGACATCCAAGGATCTTTCATTGACCGCTTACCCAGACTGTAGAGTGTGTGTAACATGGCTGCATGTGTAACATGGCCACTTGTATAACAGGCTGCATGTGTAACAGGGCCACATGTGTAATAGGGATGCATGTGTAACAGACTGCATGTGTAACATAGCCACCTGTGTAACAGTCTACATGTGTAACATGGCTGCCTGTGTAACAGACTTCATGTGGAACATGGCTGCCTTTGTAACAGTCTACATATGTAACATGGCTACCTGTGTAACAGACTGCATGTGTAACATGGCCAGTTGTGTAACAGGTTGCATGTGTAATAGGCTACATGTGTAACAGGCTACATGTGTAACATGGCCACCTGTGTAACAGTCTACATGTGTGACATGGCCACATGTGTAACAGGGCTGCATGTGTAACAGAGCTGCATGTATAACAGGTCACATGTGTAACAGTCTACATGTGTAGCATGGCTTATATGTAACATGGCTGCATGTGTAACACATTGCATGTGTAACATGGCTGCATGTGTAACAGGCCTGCATGTGTAACAGGCTGCATGTGTAACATGGCCACATGTGTAACATGGCTGCATGTATAACAGGCTACATGTGTAACATGGCCACCTGTGTAACAGGGCTGCATGTGCAACATGGCCACCTGTGTAACAGGCTGCTTGTGTAACAGTCTACATGTGTAACATGGCCACATGTGTAACAGGGCTGCATGTATAACAGGTCACATGTGTAACAGTCTATGTGTGTAACATGGCCTATGTGTAACATGGCTGCATGTGTAACAGGCCACATGTGTAACACACTGCATGTGTAACATGGCCACATGTGTAACATGGCTGCATGTGTAACAGGCTATATGTGTAACAGGCTACATGTGTAACAGGGCTGCATGTGTAACATGGCCACATGTGTAACATGGCCACCTGTGTAACAGGCTACATGTGTAACAGGCTGCATGTGTAACAGACCACATGTGTAACATGCTGCATGTGTAACATGGCCACATGTGTAACAGGTTGCATGTGTAACATGGCCGCATGTGTACCATAGAAGTCGAATCTTGCTATGACCCAGGATCTTCCTCCCTGTTAACTCTGGACATTTGGGGCTGAATCATTCCTTGTTGGAGGCTGTCCTGTAGGGTATTTAGCAGAATCCGTGGTCCTACTCACCAGATACCAGTGACCATACCTGCCTCCAACAGTTGTGATACCTGAAAATGTTTCCAAATGTTGCATAGCCCCTAGTTGAGAACCACAGCCTTAATTTTCTTACCAGAAGTCACTCTGCCTCTTTTGAACTTCTTTTTCTGACTCTAAACTGAAAGAAGCTAGCCTCTGAAGGACTTTTATAACCCTCCCACTGCCGGCTGTTGTGGAATGTAAACCTGCTAGCCAACAGTTGCTTCCCTGTCCTTCCTCTGCTGGGGACACCGATCTTGGGAAGATGAACCACGCCTCACCTGAAAGCCACTCTCCTCCCTTCACCCCTGTCCCTCCCCTGCTCACGAATGAATTTCCCATGTCAGCCTCAGTGGAGAAACAGAAGCAGTCAGAGGAGAATCTCCATAGGCTTTTCATCTACCCGCCCACTCCATTTGCCCCTACACGCCCCGCCTCCCTCCTGCAAGTGTAACTTAGGAAGTCTACCTGCTCCTAAACTCGTCTTTGTCACCCAAATGGACTTGTGCAGGGCACGCCTCCATCCAAGGGCAGAGGTGCTGCCTCTTCCCCGCTGGAGTAGCTCCAACATACACGCACATGCGGACACCTTCCCCCAGAGCTGCACCTGAGAGATGCCTGCTTGTGAGGTTCCCCAGCTGTCAGGAGGGAACTCATGCCCTAAAATCCAGGCTGTCTTTTCAGCACTGGGATACCAAGTCCTCTTCCTTTTGTGACAACAAA